TGGGTATTTATGTACCTCCATACCGTCAGCTGTGAGGAAGACAAACTGTCTTAAACACAAACTGCGGCGGTACTCCCAAGCCAATAGCTTGCTAAAACCTAACAGGGGAATATGACTCCTGACAGAAATCTATTTTGTGTAGCCAAAGGCTTAATCTAAAAGCTGCGTGGACAAAGGCAACAGCAAACTATCATCAATAAAACTCATCTATATATGGTAAGTGGCCTGTATTTATATAGCGCTTTACTAGTCCCTAAGGACCCCAAAGCGCTTTACATATCCAGTCATCCACCCATTCACACACACATTCACACACTGGTGATGGCAAGCTACATTGTAGCCACAGCCACCCTGGGGCGCACTGACAGAGGCGAGGCTGCCGGACACTGGCGCCACCGGGCCCTCTGACCACCACCAGTAGGCAACGGGTGAAGTGTCTTGCCCAAGGACACAACGACCGAGACTGTCCAAGCCGGGGCTCGAACCGGCAACCTTCCGATTACAAGGCGAACTCCCAACTCTTGAGCCACGATCGCCGTAAATAAATAATCTAATAAAACCTACAAACACTTTCTGTTGACAATTTGTTGCGGCTCCTCCAACCGCGGCAGGCTAAACATGAGGACACAGATGACGCGCAACAATAAACGCATAAAATACACTTCTGTACCATTTGCTCCTTTTATTCCACATGCAACTGTCCAATATATAAATCAGCACATGGGATTAACTATTAAACAAATGCACAGATTGCACAAACAAATAACTGCAACTCAACAATAACTGCACTAATTACAATGCCAACTTACAATTTGGCCTATGGCATCAATTAGTGCACAAATATACATAAACCATCAAGTTCCAGTGAAAATACATCAAAATCATTCAAGCTGCAGTCAACAGAAAGTTTTGCTTCATGCTTACCCTGCCTTTCTGCTCATCAACATCAGGTGCCGTGAACAGGTGAGTGCAACCACATTTATCATCTACCACACCCATGAGACACGCCCGCACCCGTGCACTTCTTCTTCAGTCAAGTTTAACGGCAGCTTGCATCCAAGACGGGTGTGTATGGCTACGTTCACACTGCAGGCGAAAGCGCATCAAATCCGATTTTTTGGACCCTATGCGACCCATATCCGATCATGGTATGACAGTGTGAATGTAGCCTATCCGAGACTGTAGATTACAAAACCGTTCTGACCCACACTCCTTTCCAGAAGGTGGCGGTAAATGCACCTAAAAGTTGTTTGCCAACCGCCATTAAAATGTAGGAGAAGAAGCTTGCATCCAAAACTGATTGCATTACTGCCATCTCCTGGCTGTTAACCGTCCGTCACTCCTGAATCCTCAGATCCTCTTGATGAGACCAGTACTTCTCAAAAAACGAAAAACCACCACTTTCCCTTCACCATGACTTAACTTATTAACCACTTGTTCAAATGTAAGTTCCCTTCCACCACTCATTTCACCCCACATCACCCTCCTGTGACTTACATACTTCCTACAACTAAGGAGTACATGCTCAACCGTCTCCATATCAGTGCACCCATCACACAACCCAGTCGGATGTTTCCCTATCCGAAAAAGAGTACCATTTAAAAAGCAGTGGCCCGTTCGTATTCGACTGATAACAACCTCCTCACGTCTCTGCAATCCGCTACTCCTCTTAGCTTCTATTGTGTTTTGCACCCTATATAAATGTCTCCCTTTTGTTTCATTATCCCATGCCATTTGCCATAAGTTCCGACTTTCTGCCCAAACTACACTTTTCCCTTCAGATTTTGACAATGGTAACTGTACATCTATGTCGACTCTTTTAACAGCTGCTTTGGCCAACCTATCTGCGCTTTCATTACCCAAGATACCCACATGAGCCGGAGTCCACATTATTACTACATGTTTATTTTGGTCAGACAGTCTATGATGAGCAAAAAGAATGTCATACAGAATTTGCTGATGGGTAGTTGTGTAACCCTGTGCAATACTTAATAATGCGGACAATGAATCACTGCATATCAGTACTTTTGAGACCCTGCTGTCCTCCATCCATTCTAGAGCCAGCAGTATGGCAAACAATTCAACTGCATATACACCCAGACGGGTTGATGTTCTTTTCGCAATCTTGATATTCAACACCGGAATTACCACTGCTACACCAGTTGCTTCTGTCTTAGGATCTTTTGACCCATCTGTATACACCTGTAAAAAGTCACTGTATTTGCTGTCCAATCTATTATAGAATTTTTGACAAATATCTGTGGTCACTTTCCGCTTTCCAGTGTCCGTTAAAGAGCTGTCCACGACAAGACACTTCAATGTCCATATGGGACGTAAAGGCCACAACACTGTCTGATTAAAGACTTTAAAAGTTCTT